AGGCGGAACTTTCTTGACGACTTGAAAGAGGTCTTGATGCGTCGAAGGTCCTTTGAAAAACCGATTTTGTTTGTAGAGTGTATTGCATAGATTATCCAAGGAAGCTCTCGGATCATTTGGACGGTCCTTGCAACATGTGCGAATCAACACGGTATAATTCACAGACTAAAGCCGGGGTCACACTGCTCATACATCCTTCAAAGACAGTTTGCAAACACGAGTCATCGCTATAACCTTGGCTCGAATGCCGCCTTCCAAGTTTTACCCTTGAACTCATTGCCATGCGGCATTCGAGGCACGGATTCGCGGTGACGAGCGTTGGAATCTGTATGCACGCTGTTTTTTGTATGAAGTATCAGCTGTGTGACCACGGCTCAAAGAATAACTCTGGTCGAAAACGAAAGCAGAATAAATGACTGGTGTCACTTTAGTAGCATGAATGTGATAACAGCCGAAATATTACCTCAAAGGGGCGATACAAAAATTGTTTGTACTTTGCGCAAATGAGGCTTAGAACGGATCCCTGACGTTAATGACCTATGATACACGCGTTCGTTTATAACCCCGCGCAATAGAAGTCCCAGAAAAAAAATTAAAGAAAAACGAGCAGCGTTCACCTCCTCAATTCGCAGCCAGAACAAGCGGCCGCGTGATCTGGAGCCGATTATATGCCACCAGTGTTGATCATAGTCACGCGCTGGGGTTGGCAAAGCACAGGACACGCGCTGAGTTCCAGACATTGTCATGGCCCGGCTATTGTCGTCGTTGCAGCGATTGGACACGGGTCACTACCGAATGCTCCTCGAGCTAGAAATTATCACGGGCCCAAATCGAGTGCCCACGCAATGCTCGGGTCCAATCTATGGGCCGCATTTAAATATCGTCATTGGGGTGCATTGCGATCCCCGCGTTACGTCATCAAATTTTGCAAAGGAGAGATTAAATGAAAGTGATCGCTTTTGTACTTGAAACTACACCGCAACAGAGGACTTTCTGGGCCAGTGGCGTAGCCTGCGAGTATCCTCGAGTCGCACTAGTGCCAATAAGTTTGTGCAAAGTGAAAAACATTCTAAGCGAATATCGTTTCACCGCTCCTTTAAAGTGAAACCGCGTACCCCACAAAACCCTACTTTAAAGATGCGACCAGCTGCTCTTCAGCTGGCGGCAAGCGCGTTACCTTTTAGTTAAGGAGCACTGGCGCAGCACATTTGTGACGTCATGTCGCAGTAGAGCTGCGGTCGCTTGGTTGTACCCAACGTTACTAGATTATCTCAGTTGTGAAACTCCCCCGGAAGGGGGTACCCCCCCCCTCACTCACTTCAATCCGCCTGCCGTCGTTCGAAGCGCCATCTAAACTTTCGTCTCACAACTGTGCGTTCCATAGAGCAGAGCTGAAACACCATCTAGACGCCGTGCTTCGAAACGTCCGTATCGCATAGAATGCACTGCAGTTACCAAAGCAGCCGTCCGGCGCGTCAAGCGACGGCAGGCGAGTCGGGGTGAGTGAGGGGGGGGGGGGGGGGGTGGCACTGCTCGTGGCTTGCAGCATCTATGAGCAGGTCCGTAACTTAGCTAATCTAGTAACGTTGGTTGTACCCGTTGTACCACGTACCACAACCCCCTTCTGACATCACGTCGCAGCCGGGTGGATGGATAAACGTTAAAGAGGCCCTCCGGAGCGTTCTCCGATGGTCTATTTATGGCGGTTACTCAATCTACAGGCCCTAAGGATCCTAAAAATCATAAAATTACGGTCATGCGCGGCGAATTTCCCTATTAAAATTGCTATCAAAGTCCCCGGCACGCCCCCCTTTCTGAGATGACCCCGGAAAACGGGAGGGTCATCTCTTTACGCGTCAGCCGATAAGCGAAGGATTCCGGCGTCACTGTGCGTCACCAACGCGGCCGACCGCCGACCCGCGGAGGGATCTCTCCGGACTTTGTGCTCGGCAGTCGTCGTTCGTCGCACCGCACCGTCGCGCTGCTATTGCAACACGCAGTCGCATTCCACAGATGACAAGGAAAAGTTTGATTCGTTGACATGGAGGGCTCGCAAAGCTGGCTCCGGAGTCGGGATCCACGAGAAGAAGGAGCACGTGTCCCGCAAACGCACGCCTGCAATCGCCCCGGGAGGCAGACGAGCCGACGCGCCGACGCATCACCCCTTAGCAACAAGCTTGCGGGGAGAAAACGTAGTTCGCTTGTTTTGGAGCGATAATTGCGGACTATGCTTCCCGCACCACAATCAGTTTACGTTTTTCTCAAACTCTACTTTACAACAAGCTTAAAAAGTGTTGCAATAATAACGTGCACGCTCTTTAAACGGACCACCAAATTCGGTTTCCTAACTTATTTCGCTGGGATTTAGTGCAGAAGGTGCCTGAAGTTGGTGGAAGCTTTCACCGAAATTGTGAGAAGATTCTGAGAAGATTCACCTGAGTGAATCAAGAAAAATCAAAACCTATGTTTTCCTTATACTTTGCATATACAGTAAAACTATTATATGTTACTCTTCCGTTTATTTAGGCTAAATTATGTAAAGAATAGGTAAGCAAATTCTATTTTGTTTACATTTCAAAATGTTTTCATTAATAGCATACGTCAGGATATCCCACAACGATTTTCTGATGATTTTGAGATAAAAAGGCTCAGCCATAATTTTTCCGTAGACAAAACAAGTTTTTCTTTTGTGTTTGTTTCACTGCGGAGGTTTTATGTATTTATACTTTCATTTGTTGAATACACCAGCTTCGAGCACCTCTGTAGTAAATTCAAGCGCGATAAGATAAGAAACTGGTTTATGCGGTCAGTTTAAAGTGCGTTCAATTCATTTCACCCACGCGGTAATTATGAATGTAATTATTTACTACTAATTAAGGTTTCCATTTGTGAAATAAAGTATCATCTGACGAACGGTATTACAGTAACTGATAAAAACTATCGCTTATGCTAGCTTTAATAGCGTCGGCGGTACTACGGAGATTAATCTTATCAACGGCGAGGGGCAGCAGTAGCCATGCCTTGAAGTGTTATCGCGATGCAGATTAAAGCTACAGCTTTAATCTGCATAGCTTTAGCTTTAATCTGCTCGATTAAAGCTAAAGCTACAGAGGGCGCTGTGGTCGCTGCAAACATGGTGAAAGAATTATCTGCGGGATCTTTTCAAGCATACTCGAAGAATGTCTGCTTTGCACATATGCAAAACATGTCTGCCAACAGTTTGTTTAGGGCCCGTGTCACAGTACCGCCATTCAAAAAAGAGGCCTTAGACTGTATCTCCAGATATAGTTTTATAGGCGGCGTGAGCGCAGCTTAACGATACAGTTTTTCGATGCAGGTACACACCAGTCAAGATCAAAGTCGGCCCAGTGGTCTACCTCGCCGCCAAAGTACAGTCTCTAAAGCTGTCTGCTGTATACGTGCAGATATTTCACAACAACCAGTCTGGCGAGGAGGGTAAGGCGTACATATCGGAGCAAGTAGAACACGAAGACGAGTATACGTGGTCCGTCACCAAGGGGGCTGATCTCACCGTTAAAGCCAAGTTCAGTATAAACGTGCCACTAATTTATCAGTTCTCGACAGAATTTTCGACAACACTCAAGACAAGCTCTGGATCCACCAGGGTGGAAACACGTACTACGCGACAACTGATTAAACAAGATATAAAAATACCCCCCGGAGCCAATATCGAAGCCAAGTGGTACGTCAACGAAGCACAAGTGGTGCGTACGAGTCGGTATTTTTTGTTGATATTTCGCTTAAAGGTTGGTCAAATATCACACTGTGTCTATAAATACACCGGGTTTTTTTTAGCCTCCTTTCTGGGGAGTGACGGTGATAAGGTCAGAACAAATCTGTGAACGCGCAATAAAAGAATTATAATTGCTTGCACATCGAGACGCCACGTGGAACCAACTTTTCGCAAATATTCTCGCATTTTATGTTAATGAGCGGCAAAACCTTTTCTTTCTATGGGGAATTATTATCAAAGACACAGACAATCAGAACCGAAATGTTTATTCTACATACAAACAACTTTAGAAGGATTGTCCAGTGAAAGCTGGAAGTTACTCAGTTTTCGGGCTGGTCACGTAGAGATGGCCTAAGCATAGTAAAATGTGATATTTATTTAATTAAAAACCCATATTTGTTAAATAAATTATTAACATCAATATGAAACGTGACGCCAAATTTCGCAAGTGTGCATGGCTTCTCGTCTCGTGACTTGACATCAGGCATGGTAATGTCAAAGCCGCCGACGTAGACTTCTGGTTTTGATCAACATGGTGGATTATGCGTACAAAGATCGTTGTCAGAAAATATTGGTCTTTCCTCCATACCGTAAATATTGCCTTTCTTAGGAGCACGTTATTTTACTGAGACAGCAGTCAAGAGCTGCCGTGGCTCTCTCGCCGTGATGTTACGTCAGAGCTTCCGCATTGGCCAACAAAAAACGGTGTGCGTTTCGTGGGTGCAATCTGAGCATTTGGGTGCTGTATAAAATTGAACTACTTGTGCTGCGAAGTATGAAAAATTCGGATATTGTGACCATGATATTCCTATAAGCAATGACAATATAAACATTTGACCGGAAAATCCCTCGAAGTAAATTTTTATGGAGATCGTTCAACCTTCCTGGCTACCTAAAATAAACCATCACGTAGCTAACAGCGTAAAACAAAACGGCACCAGTCTAACACTAGATTCATAAAAAAAAAAAGTCAACTGAATGCACACCCGCAATAAGAAGGCTTGTAACCAGGATAATATGTAGGTTTTCTTCGCGTCGGTAATGTTTCCCGGCACTATAACGGATTGTCCAGGACAGAAAGACCACCGCCAGGTTTAGCTATGAGGCTGCTTATAGCGGTGCACAGCTGGTGGTTTCATAATCGCCTTTGAGATTTCTGGAGTTTGACTTTCCAGAGAACGCTACTTTTTTTTCGTAGCTCTTGTGATCTCGCAGAAAATGTGTTTTCTTCAGGTACTTTTTTGCCCTCGCATTCTTGGCGTATTTTGATCTGAACTACCCAAAAGAGTTTAGGTAGAATAGACGAATATATGCGTGGGTTCTCGAAGACTTGCTTTGGATGTGTAAAGCCTAGGTCCCACTGCTGATACAAAAGACAATCTGCAAATACGAGTCACTGTGACATCCGGGGTTCGAATGCCACGTGCAAAGCTTCCTCCTTGAAATCGTTGCCATTCGGAATTCAATGCACGGATCTCGCGGCGACTCGCGTTGGAATCTCTCTGCAGACTCTCTTTTGTCTGATGTATGATCAGTGCGAGTCTGACTTAACACATCATTCAAAGGACAGTGTGCAGGCACTGTCTGAGGCTTATGAGGGACACATTGGGCGCACAAAACCTGCCTGGACATGTACGAAGCAAATATGCTCCCTACATGATTCAGGTGTACCTTCAGGTAATCGTGTCATCATGTGGCAGCGAACAGTCTTTATTTTGTGATATGTACGACCATGTCTTAACGAGGCTCGACGTATTTGCCGCATGACCGGAGGCTCGCCTGCGGAGTCCAGTTTTCATGTAGAAAGTAAGTCATTGTGGGGTGCGCAAGGGTCGTTTAGGCCGGGGCAGCGCAAAGGCACGTAGGAATCCCCGTCTGTGTGGAAAAGTGCATTTTGCGCATATTTATTTGTTTTGCTGGCTCGATTCCTTCCCCATCATTCATATCACGCCACTCGAACTTCTGGTAACCCGCCGCGAGCAAAGCGCCCGCAATACAACATCTAACGTCACATTTACAGTGTTGCCATTAAAGTTTTCTAAGCCGGGATCACACTGCTTATACATGGTACAAAAAAAACTGTCTGCACACAGATTCGAACGCGAGTCACCGCGAGAACCGTGCTTTGAATGCCGTATGGCTATAAGTTCAGGGAGGAACCTGAGGACGTGGCATTCGAACCAGGGATATTGCGATGACTCGTGTTTGCAGAATGTATTTTGTACGTGCAGTGTGACCCCGACTTTATCCTCTTGGAACAAACTTAAAATATACAATAAATTAACAAAACAAAAATTATTGCGACTCGTAATTCGTATTACTTGTTTAGATCTATATATTAACGTGTTGCATTGATTTTGAGGAAAATCAGCGACAATCAATATTTTGCCTTACTTCGCTGACGATTTAATCGAAACTTGGGTGACACCATATGTCTGTGTCTTCAATATGTTGCATCTTTCAGGTGGTGCCATGGGTAGCCGACATCTTGATGGAGGGATACGTTGCAGCATTATTTGAAACGCCCGACATGAAACTAACATGGGGGTACTTAAACGTGCAAGAGTTCGAACACGACCACCTAACAAAATACGAGGAAGGCGTCACGTTTCAGGCATTGGGGCTGTTCCAAGCGAACGTAGCACAGAGCTACCACCTCTCTACCACCGAGAGAAAAATAGCGCAGCGCACCACAAGCATGGCCAAATATACTTTTGAGCAAGAAACCTCATGAACCACGACCGAGCGGATGGAAACAAGTTTTCGAAATAATAATAAAAAAAACCAATGAAAGCCGTTCTAATCTTCACTTTTTTTGCGAGTAAGCGGGAAAAGAAACTTTGAAAACGTTTTGTTGATCCCTTGAAGGTTATTCCGGTCTTTAAGTCTGGAGACGTATTGCTTGCTAATAACTACCCTCCAATTTCTCTAACAAGCATACCCTGCAAACTTCTGGAACATGTGATCTACACCCACCTCGCTAATTACCTTTTAGATACTAACTTCTTTTTCCCGAACCAGCACGGTATCCGAAAGGAACGATCTTACGAAACTCAAGTATTTGAATTCATTACCGATATACATGAGAACATTCACTCACGGGTGCAGGCGGAAGCTATTCTTGTCGATTTCACAAAGGCGCTTGACTGAGTCCTGCACCAACGCCTATTACACAAAAATAGAAACATTAAACATTCACCAGTCTCTTGGTCACTGGATCAGGAAATTTTTTTCCCTTAGAACTCAATCCGTTTCAGTGTCCAACGTCTCTCTCACGAAATTTCGGTGAAATCTGGAGTCCTTCGGGGATCGGTCCTTGGTCCGCTGCTTTTCTTAATTTATGTAAATGATCTTCCTAACTCTATTTGTTAGAAAATTAGACATTTTGCGGACGATTGCGTAATATATAGGCGTATCGTCTCAACAGAGGACAGCCTCACCCTGCAGCGTGATCTAGATTCTCTATTCCCATGATGTGAGAAATGGCAAATGACCGTCAATATGTTGAAAACTAAATTTCTTACCTTTTGTACGAAAAAAAAAACGACAATTACCAACAACTACAAAATAAGCGGCTATAGTCTTGAAAAGGTTACGAATTATAAATACCTCGGTGTTACACTAACTGAAAATCTGGGTTGCAAAATGCATATCGATTCTATCGTTAGTAAAGCAAATCGTACCTTCGGTTATTTCAGAAGAAATTTGTATATGGCATCCTCTGATGTATGTTTGCTGGCCTACAAGTCTTTTATTCGTTCGACGGTCGAATAAGCTGGAATATTTTGGAATCCCTGGGAAGACTACTTAAATAAGAAACTCGAATCTGTGCAAAAGAGAGCCGTTCGTTTTATTTTTAGAGGCTGCTCTTTTTCGTCAAGCGTGGCAGCTCTCAAGTCCAAAGCTTGCCTTACATCACTATGCTCTAGCCGCAAAGTATCACGCCTCCCATTTCTCCACCGAGTTTCCTACCATAATCCGTATCTTAAAACTGTGATTCTACTGCCCCTCTACCGATTTTTTTTCTCGGTCGAAGAAAATCAGGTTGCCATCCAGTCGCACAAAAATGTATTTCGAATCTCCTTTAAACCTAGTTATTGGCGAGTGGAATAACCTACCTGAAAGCGTGGTGAGCAGTCCTGTTTGCGTTTTATTTACAAATGCTTGTGAAGACTCATTCTGCTAATTTTGTTTGTATACATGCAATTTGAATGAGCAGTTACCCTTTACTTTTTATAGTTTTATGTAATCCCAATTTTCGATTTTTTTATTCTTGCGTATTTTGTGTAATACAACGTGTTTGCACTTTTTTTCTCCCCCTCGTGTAATGCCATCGGGCGATTCGAGGTAATTAAATGAAATGAAATAGGCGCTGCCACCGTCAACATAGGCAGTGGTTACAATGCGAGTTTCCGAAGTGGTAGCGAAACTTAGTTGTAAGATGTCTGCCTCATACGTAGCAGACCCGGGTTTTATTCACAGTGTGGGCTGACTTCTTTTTTTTTTCCTCGAATTTTTTGTTTTGTCGAGGCATTTGGCGATATATATGAAGTCTCTTTTTTACGATTGACACTGAAAAAGAAATGAAAGTTGTCGACGAAACATTGGTGAACTAAATCGCATGGGACTCTATTTACTGATGTGCATGGGGGACAGCGGGGCTTGGGTTGCCGGCGGCGAAGCGGCGTGTACTGGGGTAGAAGGGGGGGGGGGGGGGGGAGGGGGGGGGGGGCTAAGTGGGTTAATAGTTTGCGATTAGCAGCCGCACACTGTCGCCATGAAGCGGCGTGAACAAAGGCGCGGGGGGGGGGGGGGGGGGTAACGCGCTTCGAGTGATACACACGCCGTCCGAATCTGAAATTTAAGGTCCCGCGCGTTGCCGAGCAGCCAGTCCGGCGTGAGCGTCATTGCTAGGGGGTCTATCACCTCCGCCGTAAAAGTTAGTGGTGGACCGAATCTGCCGAACTTCATTTCGGCGAAGTTCCTCGCATGCCGAAGTTTAGAAAGAAAGTTCGGCAAAGATTCGACAAAAATTCGGGAAATGTCTGCGCACGCGCACGAACGGGACGGGGCCACGGATCGCAACTGGACGCCGAGCAGTCGCGCGATTACCATCGTACAGTTTAGTACAGCCAAAGGTTCCTGCGAGGTGTGGAGTAGGCGACACGGTAACTGTGCGTTTGTGACCTTTTGTGAGAATGGTTCTCTTCAATATTGTCGGCCTCGAGAACAGAAGATCGACCAGCAATTCACGCAGTCCACTGCGCAAGTGACAAATGATGCGGTGCATTCTGGATAACGGGATTTTAATTTGACCTTTCCATTGATGGAACGAGGTAGTTGAAACATTGACTGACAACTTACAACTACGCTCAGTATTCGCAGCCCACTGCCGTCATACGGGGCAGAGTCACGAGAGCTTGCCAGAATGTATGGGATGCAGCTGGCATCCTCGACATAATGTGATACATGTTTTCCCCCTTCTTTTCTTTCCTTTTTACGCACTTTCTGTAGTGTGTATTTTCTGTACATTTATATATCGGTTTTGTTTTTTTACATGTGGCGGCGGGCTGGAAGGCGCTCTGCCTAAGGGTTTTCACCTATCTGCCTAGCCCCGCACACCACCACATGGGCCCCTTCCAGGATGAGCAGATAGAATTATTATTATTATTATTATTATTATTATTATTATTATTATTATTATTATTATTGAAGTGAAGAAGAAGATGTCGCCGGAATTGGTCGTTCTTTTTGATCATACTGAATATTTCTCTTTACGTTCATGGGTTTCGTCGATGTAAGACCACTGGTGACGTCTTACAATCTGCACAAGGCGGAGCAAGTTCCTGGATCTGTGGCCCGAAGCTCTTTCAAATAATGGCGAATTCACTGGTCGTTTTGGAGCGTGCCGGGATCGACTTTTCTGGAGCGAGCCTATTTCACTGGGCGATCGGGATCGAGACCGACGTGTTTCACTGGTCGTTTTGGATTAGCTCCCGCTCCAGATCTCTATCTGGATCCGAGAAAAGTCGCTCCCACGATTTCGGCGGATTCAACTGGAAGCCAGCCGGGCCAGCCCTCGGCGCACACACCTGACTTCCTTTCTCGTAGGGCATCTCGCCTGATCTCGCCCATCTGGCGAGATCAGGCTGGGCTCCTAGATTGTCTCGACATCAGAAGAATTCGTAATGGCCGCTTGCTTACCCCTTGGCTCGACAGCCGGTTCGTTTTCCAGGAAGGAAAAGAGAAGGTATTCGGCCGCGCTACGGGCATTCCGGCAATCTTTGCTAGAAGCGCCTGAGCCATTCCTGCCGCTCGTGCGTCGAACACGTGTTAGCGCCGCGATTGCGAAAACGTTTTCAAAGCGACCGCGGCGGCCGCGGAAAGGGGATTCCTGGGAAAGGCATCAGCCGATCCCGGAGCAGTGGTCATGTTCCATTTTGATCCGTAGGCGGCGTGACCCCGTTCGGATCGTGTGGTCCAGTCCGGATCTGGTGAACTGATCCCGGCGCGCTCCAAAACGCCCAGTGGAATTCGCCATAAAGCGGCCGACATTATCGTCTGGGGCAACCGCTCGACCACCTCCATGCTCGCCATCTTGATCGTCATCCTAATTCGACGGCCGGCCTTGTCCCTTTGAGGGTACTTCAGCGCTGGGCTTGCAGCCGGGCCTTTGGATACACCTACTCGGCACAAACGTTAACGCAAACTTCAGCGCAGGGTCTTAAGTGCCCTCCTGATTCTATGCAACGTGGTGTGTTTGTACTCTACGGTTACGTTCGGTGAGCCGGCGTTTTCTTTACTGGATCTTTTGGCTGCCCTTCCTTATTGTGGCCACTGGGAAATGTCCGCTTCGCAACGTGGGATGGCTTCCCCCTAGCAAGCGATTCGTCTTTATGCTACGCTTGTCAAAAGGCTGTGCCTTCAGACGGACGAGTTTTGAGCTGTTCTTAGGGTCACGGTGCCTATCATCTTGCACCAACGTGCACGGGAGTTGTGGACGCTGCGTTCAATACCATGGGCAAGGCAAAAAGGGAGAGTTGGGTGTGTCCCAAATGCCGCGCTATGAAATACAATAAGAACGGCAGCTTTGGTGGTGTGGTTACAAGTACGATGATTAACGAAGACAACCTGACTCTCCAACTGAGTGCGATCGATGACAAGCTGCACGTGCTCTTCCCTTTGAAAGAAAAGGTTAATGGGTTGACGCAACTTCCAGCAAAAATGAACGATTTATAATAAAAGCAATATTTACACATCACAGTGAAAGTAATTGTCAAAACATTAACTGAGACGATGAGGGGCCTCGAGAAGTCGTTGGAGTTCTCCGGGCAATACGATTCATTGCTGGCACAGGTAAAAGTCAATGTTAGTGAAATAAAAGATCTGAAAAGTGAGGTACGCGTTCTGACATCAGCAGTAACCGAGCAGAGGTCCGAAATACGCCGATTACAGGCAGAGTTGAATGACTCCGATCAGTACAGCCGATTAAGCCACATGGAAATCCGCCGACTACCTTACCAACCAACCGAGAACGTCAGGGGTTTGGTTGACAACTTGGCTTCTAGCCTAAACATTAAGGACTTTCAACCCTCTGACATAATGACGGTTCATCGCCTGCCTCCGAAGAAGGATTCTAATTTCGCTCCTCTAGTGGTTGTAAGGTTTAATTCCGTCACCAACAAAGAGACCTGGATAGCAACGCGGGGCAAACTGAGATCTCTGCCCGGCTTC